ACGTCCTAGAAAATGAGAGGCTACAGGAACGCGACAGAGCTGTACACAGTACCGCTGATGATCTTTAGGCGCAAGCGCCTTCGTAAAGATATCACCTGTGTTGGCACCAGAGGCCAAGTGTACTACGTGGGCCTACCGACGCTGCTGTAGCTCGCGCAGAAGGAAGTACCGCAGCTGGATGTACTGCGCTCTGCCCTCGAGTCTAGGCTCCTGACACAGGAGGATCATGGCTTTGTTGTCAGCGTATAGAACCGAGGCAGAGCTAGGCCGCTCACTCAAGTCTGTGAGCAAGAAGGTCAGTCAGCGGAGCTCCTGTGCCACCATGGCACCGGCGTAGATCTCAGCCTTACAGCTAGTCTGGGCAACAAACGAGGAGCGAGTGGACCTCCATGAGATGGCACCTGAACCAAGGCTAAAGCAGTAGCCCTGGGAGGACCCGAGAGTCTCGGCGTTGTCTGCCCAAGAAGCGTCTGTGTGCCCAGTAAGGACCACTGGTCTGCGTCCTCCTAACACTAGCCCCATGCTCGATGTACTTGCTAGATAACGCAAAACCCTCTTAGCTGCCGACCAGTGCTGTGGTCGGTGTCTGCCGGGGGCCACAAAGCGAGCCAGTATGCTGAGAGGGTATGCGAGATCTGAACGAGTGAAAGTCATCAGGTACATGAGGCAACCCACCAGCTCTGTGTAAGGACAACTGGGCTCTACAGCCTCCTCCGGAATAGGCGCAGAGAAACTGTGGTCTACTGGCAGAGGGGTGGGCTGTGCTGAAGAGAACTGAAGGCCGAACCTCTAAAGGACCTGGCGTACCAAGTGTGAGTGTGTGAGAGTGATGGTGCGCGCTGCTCTGTTCCTAGAGATCTGCAGGCCAAGGTAGCGGCGCAGCTCTCCTAGGTCAATGCATGTGTCTCCTCAGCAGCTCGGACTTCACGGAGGCCAGCACATCTCTGTCTGCAGTAGCAAAGACCAGGTCGTCTATGTAGAAAAGCATGTAAAACGGAGACTGGCCGGGACGGACGAAGGGCGAGGGGTCTGCAGACGACGGGAAGAATTGCAGGTCAGCAAGTGTAGCATGCAACGTGTCGTGCCACTCACGGGGCGCTTGTCGCAATCTGTAGACGGGGCGCCGAAGGAGCCAGTCGGTACCAGGGGAAAGGTACCGGAGAAGCCCTAGGGGCAGCGCAGGTAGACCTGCTCGTGTAGACTTCCCTGGAGGAAAGCTGTAGAGAAGTCGAGGGAGTGGAGCTTGTAGTTACGCTGTGCTACTACGTGTAGCAGAGCCCGAAGAGTAGTCATCTTTGGGGTCGGGTCGAAGGTCTGAAAGAAGTCAACCCCCTCACGCTAACTAAAGCCTCGAGCAACGTAGTGCGCCTTGAAGACAGGCAGCTCTCCAGGGGGGTGCTAAACCTTGAAGAGCCATCGGCCATCGACTACGTTCACCCCAGGTAGGGGAACTGCGTCGACGAAGGTACCGGTGCATCTCCAAGATGCCATCTCCTGCTCCATGGCAGCTATCCACTGAGAGGCCTAGGGTTTTGAGGTGGCCTCAGCGTAGGTGCGAGGGGTCGTGATGTTTAGGGCGTCTGGGTCACCCTCAGGGACTAGCAGCATGGAATAGAGATGGGGATCAGGCTCTGACAAGAAAGCACGCTCATACTGTCTGTCCTCTAGGACGTTACTGCCAAGGGCAGCCACACCCCCGACGGACGGAGCGCAGGCAGTGTCAGAGACCAGAGCGGTGGCGTAGTCAAGACGGTGAGTAGCGCGGCAAAGTCAGTGACAGCAGCGACAAGGGCCGACTGACTCGAGACAGGAACGGACGGGTTGGTAACTAGAGAGGCAAGGACACGAGCAACAAGGGGACGTGCAACACGGAGGAAGTCAGAAAACGGGGAAGGGGCGACAGCAAGCGACGACGGAGGAGGAGACGAGAGGAGCGGAGGAGCACGAAACGCGTGGGAGCAAAGCAGCATAGGGTGAGACCACTGAACAGGGGAGGTAGGACGAGCACGATATGGATGACGAGACCAGACGTGAGACGGAGGAGTCGGGTCAGGAGAGAGAGGAGGAGACACAGGAGGAGACCGGGGAGGGAAACGAGCCGGACAGGAGTTCAGGGGAGGAAACACAGGGCTGTAGACCAGCAGAGGAGGAGGCAATGGCGACGGAGGGGGCAACAGCAGGCGGTCAGGGGAAGGAAGACCGAGGAGGCAAAGAGCGGACACCAATGGCGACTATTGCGACTGCTGCCCGATGCCAGTACCAGAACCTCCAGCGACAGCACGGCTCCCTCCAAGAAGCTCCACACCAGCACCCCCAGAATGGGAACCCGCTCCAGTACCCGCTCCAGCACGCTCCCCAGCACCCCCAGAACGCACAAAACCCAGCGGCGGTGATGACGATGGCTGCGGTTGCGGCGGCAACGGCAGCTGCGAGGGCTGCTACGGCTGTGACAGAAACAGCCGCAACAGGGAGGAGAAACCGTGGCGGGGACAGGCAGGGGAAGAGTCTCCACCGAGCCGCGAGAGTCAGTAGACTCCTCGGCAAGGACAACCAACGGGAGGGGGGTGATGTGAGACACACCAGACGGGGAAGGGCGGGGAGGGAGAGGACCAGGGGCAACCGGTGGAGGGGGGGGAACTAGGAACTGGGGGGGAGTGACCGGGGGACCACGGTGGGGAAAGCGTTGGTAGAAGGAGACAGACTCGTCAAAAGTGATGTCACGAGAGTGAAAGAAATAGTGAGACGGCGGGTGGTAGAAGTGTCAGTAGACGAGTCGAGGGGGAAACCTAGGAAGAAACAGGGGACAGTGCGGGCAGTGAGCTTGTCCGTGCCAGAGGCACGAACGTGAGCAAGGCAGCCCCAGACGTGGAACGCAGACGCGTCACCAGGAGACCCGGTCCAGAGGAGGGTCGGCAAAACCTGCGGCCGTTGAGGGTGCAGCCATAGATTAAGCTGGTGAGCGGCATAGCGAGCGGCAAACGGCCACAGAAAATGGGGTGCACTGGCATGGATCATGGAGGTACGAGCCACCTCCATGACCAAACCGATGCGTCGCTCAGTGACCCCATTCTGCTGCGGGGAGTCCGGCAGGGTGAACGTCTGGGTGATGCCCTCCGCACGACAGAAGCGACCAAGGCAGCCAGAGGCGAACTCGCCACCACGGTCGGAGTGAAGACGCAACACATGGAGACCTCGGTGAACGCGCACAGAGACAAGCCACGGGATAAGAACGTCAGGCACGTCGGCCTTCCGCTCTAGGGGAAACACCGTGGAATAGCACGTGTAGTCGTTGACAAGCACTAGAAAGTAACGCTCTCGACGCGGCCCATGGACGAGGGCGGGGCCCCAGACGTCCATGTGCAGGGTCTGCAGCGGTGCGGCAGTGGGGGGGAACGAGGAGGAGTGAGGAGCACGGTGGAGACGGCCCTTGACGTAGGGCGTGCACGGCGATGCTGTTGAGGAGGGTAGCATGGGGAACGACTCAGAGAGACCTAAGACAAGACCGTGCTGAGACATGTGACGAAGACGTGTGTGGGCAGGGTGACCTAGACGGTGGTGCCACAGAAGTGACGAGTGAGTAAGTGACCGACACGAGCAAGCCGCAGCAACGTGAGTAGACACAGACACCTGGGGAGACGTCCCAACCAGGGGGGACGCGGTGTCAAGTGTGAACAGGCCAGACACCGGGTCCCGGGGGAACGTGGTGAGGGGAGCACCAGTGGCGGCCTCGGTACAGATAGTGTACCGCTCGTGACCAGGGAACGTAGTGGCGACGCCAAGGTCTTGAAGGTAGCCGACACCAACTAGGTTCCTAGAGAATGAGGGGATGTGCAGATCTGTAAGGGAGCCTGAAGGAACCGCCGGACAGGGAAGGGTGGTGGAGGTATGGGCGACTACCGGACCTGAGGGAGGGTCTACAAGGGCAACTGCAGCGGGAGCGGCAAGCGGCGTAAGCGTAGTGGAGTCCCGAAAGGATCACCAGGGCCGGCTTAGGCGACGGGGCCGGCTAGGCGACGGGGCCAGCTAGGCGACAGGGCTGGCCGGGCTACGGGGCCGGCTGGGCGACGGGGCCGGCTAGGCGACGTGGCCAGCTAGGCGATGGGGCCGACTGGGCTATGGGGCTGGCTAGGCGACGAGGTCAGCTGGGAGACGGGGCCAGCTAGGCGCTAGGTGACGGGGGGCCACTAGGGGATGGGCCAGTACGGGCGGGAGGGCGACGGGGCGGCTAGGACCTACGGCGGAAGCGCTGGTGGGCGGGGGGGTCCTAACCTACTCATGATACCATATCAAAGTTAACGAATGAGTAGATCCATGGCATACAAGAGGATATAACCTAGTGGGTTGTACTCTCTAAGGCACAACCCTGTGTATTCTATAACAACATGCAAGGATATGTTTGACAATCACACCCGATTCTAACGGCGTATTATCAGCATCGGAATGTTTCCGATGCCCGCGGCCTTGTTTAGGGGGGGGGTAGTGTAAGGAATTTCCATTCCTTGCTGAGTCGTATGCTAGGCGTACACCCGAACTCATCGACTCGTCACGTTCGGCCTCATTTGTCGGCCCAAACCTTTCCCGCGTCACGTCCGGCAATGTCGCCACATTGCGGAACCTACCCACGTTCCGAGGTTATCGCCCTCGCACAACAACCCCTATATAACCTCGTGCCTTCATTGCAATAGCGACCTTGTATTCTCACGTTATATTTCATTGACGCTTCCTCGATCATAACATACAGGTTGATTTTGTGCTGAGGGGTTGTACTGTCTAAGAGCGCGCACCTATCTAGCCTATAATAACATGGATTTTTTTGAAAGTGTATAACACTTTCTAAAAATGCGTATTGTGAAAGTGAAGCTGCTCGTAATGAAGCAATGGCAACAGCAAATCGCCAAACGCTCTTCGCCGAGTATATAAGACGCATTGGAGGCCATTTGACCTCCACCCACGTATTGATTTCGAATTTTCAAAATGCCTTCATTCCAGTTTGTAATCAGTGCTAACTAGGCAGCCATACTTGTGCCAACATTCAAGTATGATGCATATTCGCTCTCGTGCCGGACATTCCTTCTAGAATAATTTCGTCGTGCACAACGGCTCGTCGTGCCAGCCCTGCGCGCGCGACGTGCCGAAAAAAAACAGCCGCACATGCGGCACTGCTGGTCAGACGCGCGAGCCACCCACGTGGCACGCGCGGCTGGCGAAATCCCGCCGGCGCGTGGGCGGTGTCGACGGTCGGTACACCAGCCGCCCGCATGACCGCGTCAACAGTGACGCCCAGCACGCCAAACGAACCGCACCGGCCGCTGGCACTGGCGCACCCTGCGCACATTACATGTCTTCATAAAAAAGCATTGTAACTAGCTGCTGTCATTTCCTTTCTCACCCGTTTTCTTGATTCTTTCGTTTATCATTTTCCATGGCAGAATCAACAAATGGACGCCGCAACTCGGGACAGAGGTGCATTGCTGATGCACAGAGGGCTTCCGTGGGAGAGTAAGGACCGATGGGTCTGTCGATGGGCCAAAGGGCCATGTATACTGCGGGAATAAGGACCAGCGGGTCCGTTGATTGGCCGGATGGCCGTTTCCCATGGGGGAATAAGGACCTACGGGTCTGTTGATTGGCCGGTTGGCCGTTTCCCATGGGGGAATAAGGACCATTGGGTCCGTTGATTGGCCGATTGGCCGTTTCCCATATGGGAATAAGGACCAGCGGGTCTGTTGATTGGCCGGTTGACCGTTTCCCATGGGGGAACAAGGACCAGTGGGTCCGTTGATTGGTCGGTTGGCCATTTCCCATGGAAAAATAAGGACCAGCGGGTCCGTCAATTGGCCGGTTGGCTGTTTCCCCAGTAGGGAACAAGGACCAGTGGGTCCGTTGATTGGCCGATCGGCCGTTTCCCATAGGGGAATAAGGACCAGCGGGTCCGTTGATTGACCGGTTGGCCGTTTCCCATGGGGGAACAAGGACCAGTGGGACTGTTGATTGGCCGGTTGGCCATTTCCCATGGAAAAATTATGACCAGCGGGTCCGTCAATTGGCCGGTTTGCTGTTTCCCCAGTAGGGAACAAGGACCAGTGGGTCCGTTGATTGACCGATTGGCCGTTTCCCATAGGGGAATAAGGACTAGTGGGTCCGCTGATTGGCCGGTTGGCCGTTTCCCATGGGGGAACAAGAACCAGTGGGTCCATTGATTGGCCAGTTGGCCGTTTCCCATGGAAAAATAAGGACCAGCGGGTCCGTCAATTGGTCGGTTTGCTGTTTCCCTAGTAGGGAATAAGGATCAGTGGGTCCGTTGATTGGCAAGCGGGTAATTTTATAGTGTTTGCCTCATACTTATGTGTGTCATTTCCCACATTCCAGAGAACTAGGACCATGATCCTGTTTACAACCGCCAAAGGGCAGAGGATTCTCCCATTCTCTACACCTTTGATAGTGAATATTGAAAATGATGGTACCTTCTTTTCATTTCTTCGGCAAAGGAAGCAATTGTTGTTGGAAGGAACATATTCCCTTTATTTGCATGAATTGTCAGCAGTCTTTGCCTTGCCGTGGCACATGAAATCTGATTGTATATTGTATTTCGATAGCACCCCTAAACCCTCTCATGCCATGTAGTTTTGAGACTAGCTCGACGCTGTCACGCAATGAATACTGCCGTGTGTAATGCGGGAGGGAGGTCTGATTTGCACATACAGCAAGCCCATACACATCACACATATACGGAGGGATTTTTGGCGTGTCAATGCGAATGTTAGGAGGACGCCAGACTCAATCTGCCCACTATGTGATGACATGACATGCATGATAACGCACGTACCCAAGTTGTCATGCTTCTCTGGCACGTCTAGTCTAGGGCTTATTTTATCAGAGTAAATCACTCTGATTCTTTGACAATCAGAGTAAATTTTTAAAACCACTTTAATGGTCCTGGGTAAAAATTTTAATGTATATGTTTTTTCTGATTTATCAGAGCTGGCCAATGTACCACCCTGAGGAATTTTCAATAGGGGGGATACTCCAAGATTTTTCCCTGTAGTCCCTGTATTCAGCTAAGTCCTCCGACTACCAGTCACACCCCTCCCGTTTGGCGAAGTCCTCCACAACCAGTCACATCACATCTCACCCCTCATATCTCCCGTAAGCTGTATGATTTTGGCTAAGTCCTTCGCAACTAGCCACCCCCCCCCCCCCCTCATACCCCCCGCAGCCTGGAGATTTGTGGTCGAGTCCCCTGTAACCCCTTACCGATATATCAGACGCAACCGAGGCACATTCCTCCCTCCCACACCCAACCCAACCTAACCCAGCTATGATCACTGCTTTTAAACTTGCCCGTTTCGTCAATCTCGCTAGTTTTCATGAGTGTAACTTGGCGTGATGTTGACACGTAAACACCGCAACTGTCGCAACACAGCAAAGGCGATTGGTACTGCACGTTTGCCAGCCAGTCACTGATGTGCTATTTCTGCACACTTCGCTCCCAGGCAAATCCCAGGTCAGCCAGGATTGGCTGTCGCTGTTCCCCACGCGAATTGCCTGTCAGCCAGTGCGAGTTGCGGTGCTGACTAAGGATGCGTTCTGCACCCGGGCCCCGAGAAAAGAATTCGGGGCATTAGTTATGCGGGTGAGATCCCCCAAGGCAGCACTTTGGGTTATCCGGTCCGTCTAAATGATGCCCCAAAGGCCTGCCTTGACGCTTTCCCCGAGCACAGTATGCGCGTTGACGAAGCATTTCGGAGCAGAGCCTACAATGATTCTTTTCGGGAGAACACCGACCGACGGATCCCAGTTTCCAGCCGACTGTACAGGGCAGATTTTGGCCAAATGTTGCACATTTCAGCGTTCATTCAGCACAGGTTTTTGTCAAACACATTGTGTATATGTCTTATAGGCTAGATAGGTGCATACTCTTATAGGGTACAACTCCTTAGACAAAACCACCTTGTTTGCCTCATTCTAGTCATTCATTCTAACTTTGATATGGTATCACGCTAGGTTAGGTCCCCCCCGCCCACCCGCGCTTCCGCCTTAGGCCTAGTCCTAGCCGCCCGTTCCTAGCCGCCCGTACCTAGCTTCCCATCGCTAGCTGCCCGTTTTGAGCCGCCCGTAGCTAGATGCCCCTAGCTCCGCGCCAGCTGGCCCCGAGTTCGCCGGCCCCGCGCCTCTAGCCCCGCATTCGCCAGCCCCGCACCTGCTGGCACCGAGCTCGCCAGCCCCGTGCCTGCTGGCCCCGCGCTCGCTAGGCCCGCGCCCGCCAGCCCAGCGCCCATCGGCCCCGTGCTCGCCAGCCCCGTGCCCGTTGGCTCCATGCTTGCTGGTCCCGCACCTGCTCGCCTGCGTTCGCTAGCCTCACTTTCGCCAGCCCCGCACCCGCCAACCCTGTGCCCGCCAGCCCCGTGCCTGCCAGCCCTGCGCCCGCTGGCCCCGCGTTCGCCAGCCCCGCGCCCGCCAACCCTGTGCCCGCCAGCCCCGTGCCTGCCAGCCCTGCGCCCGCTGGCCCCGCGTTCGCCAGCCCCGTGCCCGCCAACCCTGTTCCCGTCAGCCCCGCGCTCGTCAGCCCTGCGCTCGCTGGCCCCGTGTTTGCTGGCCCCACACCCGCTTGCCCACACTCGCTGGCCCCACTTTCGCCAGCCTTGCGCCTGCCAGTCCTGTGCCTGCCAGCCCTGCGCCCGCTGGCCCTGCGTTCGCCAGCTCCGCGACCGCCAACCCCGTGCCCGTCAGCCCCGCGCTCGACAGCCCGCGATTGCTGGCCCCGCACCTGCCGGCCCTGCACCCGCTCGCCCCACGCCTGCTGTTCTGTGCCGCAGTGTAGAGCCGCCGTGCCGCGGCGCCGCCGTGTCGCCATGCCGCGGTGCCTCCATGCCGCTGTACCCCCGTGTCGCCGTGCCGCTGTACTGCCCTGCCGCCGTGTGGAGCCGCACCGCCATTCTGCCGTACCGCTGTGTCGCCGTGCCACCGTGCCGCCGTGTCATCGTGCCGTTGTGCCGCCGTGTAGCTGAACTCGTGGGATGGCGGACGCTATGCTCTGCCTGGACTCGGAAGGGCGGGCGATCGACTTTGAGGCGTGGCTCGTCAACTTTCGCGGTCACCTTACAGGTCAGCACCAAGATGGTCACTCCCTGGCTGTTCATGTCGATGGCCTGCTTCCCCGCCCTGCTGCGCCTGTTGCCCTCCCTAACGCCCCCACCACTGCTGAGCGTGGGGCCTTTTCTGCTGTTGCGCTTACTTGCACTGTCTGGAAGTTGCGCCACGGCTTTGCGCAGCTTGCTATTAGTCACACACTTTCCCCTGTCTGAGCGTCCCGACGTTATCACTGTAGCAAACGCCCAGGAATTCTTAGATGCAGTCATTGCACGCTATTCCACCCCCGCCTCAGCCTCTGCTGGCCGCATGATCCTTCCCATGCTGTTCCCTCATCTTGCATCCTTCCCACTCTCGCCGATCTTGCCACTCACCTCCGCGCACTTGAGACTAGCTATCGTGCCGCTAGCACTGAGGGTCAGCTCACTGCCTTTCCGCCGCCGCTCTGCTCTACCTTTTACCTCATTGCCATGTGCCTCCCCGACCGCCTAGCCACTTCCTGCGACCACTTCTTTAGTCAGCACCCGGGTGACTTCACCCTCCCTACCTTTTTCACCGCCTTGTCTGCGATAGAGACCCGCCAGCGCACTATCACTCAGTCTAGCGGCACTGCGCCGGTCCCTACCTTTCAGGGCTGTGCTCCCTCCTAGTGCTCTTACTCTGATGTCTTTGCCACTGTTGCTGAGACCGCCACTGCGGCCTCAGCGCAGCCGCGTCCGGGTAGGGGCCGCCGCCCCAAGGGGGGGCGTGGCGGAGGGAAGGGGGTTGGGGGTGGGGAGCGTGGAGGAGGTGGGGGCAGGGACGGTGGTTCGGTCGAGGGGACCGGGGCTGGTGCCCCGGAGCAGGAGCAGCAGCCGCAGCGTCAGCAGCAGCAACCACAGCCTCAGCAGCAGCAGCCGCAGCAGCCGCAGCAAACTCATCAGCAACAGCAGCAGCAGTCGCCACAGAAGCAGCAGTCCCCATGGGGACCCCCACTGCCGTGGTGGACTGGCGGCTGGTGGTGGTCGTCGTGGTGGTTGTGGTGGTCGTGGTGGTGGGGGGCGCAGCTCAGTGTCGGGTACCGACTCCAGTGCGGTCACCTGTTAGTACCAGCTTTAGACCAGCCCCCGCCGCAGCACCGTCAGCGATCGTTCTGGCCACCCTGCCGCCTGCTACTACTGCTGCCTGGACGACCTCTTCCATCATCGCTTTGGTCCCACGTCGGACCCTCCTGACTGGTACGCCCTGGCTCACCGTCGTGTGCCTGTCTTTGAGCTTGACATGGATCAGATTCGGACTGCTATGTCTGACATGTATGCTAATGACTCTAGTATGATTGGACCCTATTACCCGGTATTGCCTGGAGTAGATGTGTCCCCTGTGTGAAGGCTAGGCTACCCTGCTGCGTCAGGCATAGGACCCCCTTCCTTGTTTAGCCTAGGTTCCACGCTTGCCCGTCCGCCAGCTAGCGCTACTGCCTCGCTCTCCTTTACGCTCGACTCTGGCACGTCCGCCTGCTTCACGCCACTTGCTGCCCCGCCATTGTAGCGCTTGCTAACCCCTCCTCAGGTCCGGTAGTTGCCCTTAGTTTCACTACCCTTCCCTGTCCGTCAGTCCCCTCGGGCTCTCTTACAGGCTTGCACATCCCCTCGTTCTCCAGGAACCTAGTTGGTGTCGGCTGTCTTTAGGACCTCAGCGTCACCACTACGTTTCCTAGACACGAGTGGTACGTGGTCTGTACTGAGGCCACCACTGGTGCCCCTCTGACCACGTCCACCGGGACCCTATGTCTGGCCTGTTTAGGCTAGACACTGCTTTCCCCCTGGAAGGGGCGTCCTCCCAGGTGCATGCAACAACACAGGTCGCTGCGGCTTGCTCGTGTGGCACCACCGCCTAGGTCACCTATTGCTTCTGTGGCACCACCGCCTATGTCACCCTACACTCCCGCGCCTGCGTCACATGTTCCATCACGATCTTGTCTTCAATCTCCCTACGTCACTCCCTGCTCTTCCTCCCTCCCCTGCGCTGCCGTGCACACCTTGCATCGAGGGCTGGCTGCGCCATGCTCCTCACTCCTCCTAGCTTCCCCCTACCACTGCGCCACTCTAGACCCTGCACCTGGACGTTTGGAGCCCAGCCCCTGTCCCCGGCCCGCGTCGAGAGCACTACTTCCTAGTGCTTGTCAACGACTGCATGCGCTACACCACGGTGTTTCCCCTGGAGCGGAAGGCTGACGTGCCTGACGCTCTCATCGCGTGGGTCGTAGCTGCGCGAGTCCACTGCGGCCTCTTTGTGTTGCGTCTCCACTCAAACCGTGGCAACGAGTTTGCCTCTGATCGGCTTGGCCACAAGTGTCATGCGGAGGGCATCACCTAGTCGTAC